CGATGGGGGTTGCCTACGTATCTCACATCCGGTGAGAATCAAACCGGCGTAGTTCGGGCAGATTTGCCAAAATCAAAACTATTTTGAAACCACATTTTTCTTTCGAATTTTCCAAACATTTTCTTTTCTCTTTTTCATTTTTCAAAAAAAAAAAAAATGCGGCAGCATTTCGGTACTATTTGGGCATTGGGGTTTTTTCAAAACAAATGGTTACCCTCACTTAGTCCTAACACTGCTTATTTTCTCAATTTTCAACTCATTTAGACGAGCCGGTCAACATGCAAAGTCAAGCAAATAAATGCGCAAGTAGCACTTAGGATGCATCAGGATGGTCAATTCATTTTAGGTCACCTGTCCTAGACAGACCTAACCCCTGTGTTGAGTCCCCTAAGTCAAATGCACATGATGCAAACAAACGTCCTACTAGGGATCCGGCATGAGGTCGAGTTATTCTAGGTTCAAAACCTGGGTATATGTTCTAGACTGTGTACCCGAACGGACAACTCGAGTCGAGCAGGGGGCTACGTACCGGGGACCCGCAAGATCGTCCGGCTTAGTAACTTGTCCGAGCCTCTTTCTTATTTCAGGGTATGACACTAACAGAATAGGGAGTCTCAACCAGTAAGCACATCCCCGGAGGTGAGAAGAGAAGGGTTTCGGCATAGTTTATACACAATTCAGATAATATCAAAGCGGTAAAGCATTTAGCACATATAGCATGGAACATGTAGAAAAATCAGATAAAGCCAAATATAACAATTATACTAAGCTCGAATTCTTGAACCCTGAATCGAAATTCTGGGTTCGATCCCCAGCAGAGTCGCTAGAGCTGTCACACCTCATTTTTTACACACCTACCCCGAAGGATAATATATAAAGGAGTTTTTCCATTTAAAGTGACATTATTCGAAATGGGATTATTTATTTATTTAGAGTCGCCACATGGGAAAGGATTGGCTTTTGGTGTCCCAAGTCACCGATTTAATTTAGATCCCAAATCGAGGAAAACTCGACTTCCCAATTGGAGTCTGCGAACCAGAAATTCTGAATAAGGAATTCTGTTGACCCGAGGGAAGGTGTTAGGCACCCCCGGATCCCGTGGTTCTAGCACGGTCGCTTAAATTGCTATAAATGGCTAAAAATATGATTTTAATACATGTTTTCACTTATGCGTCTTTTAAAATATAAACCGCTTTTATTATTATTTTTTAAAGAGAATTGCAACGTCGTGAAAATGCGTCTCGAACCACGTCACATAAATGCACCCGCGGTTTTTGACACATTTCGACTTCGTTGAGATTTGGATTTGGGTCACATAAATGTGCACCCGTATTTAGGAAGGTAAAATTATTTAAGTAACGGGCCTAAAGCAACTAGCGTATTATTAACTTTGTGGGAGGCCGTGAAATTCACTAAACGGCATGTCCCGAATTCTAAGTATTTTAATGGAGGTATTTTAGGAGAGCCACGCAATTTATGATTTTTGTTTGGCGCGACGCACCTCGATCTCATTTTTTAAAGGATATTCGAATAATTAACACTAGCTATAACTAAAGTTCTAATTAATTAATTAAAGGGCGGGTATGGAAAAGACTCAATTATTTCATTCAAGGGGAAAGCCAGGCCCAAGACCAATATGCCACAACCCAATAAGAAAGAAAAATATTTGAAAGAAAAGGCAGGTTTGGGCCCCAAGATCAAGCCCAGATTCGAACAAGGGCAATTTCAATTTGAAGAGGTCCTTAGCTCGAATCCGCCGCTTAACTTGGAAAGCCAAATGCTTATATATTGAGTTAAAAAAACATTAGATAAAAGAAAACATTAGCCCGTGTCTTTCAGCATTTTGGGCCCAAGAATGAGCCCAATTTGTTTGAGAAGAGGAACACACCGGCAAACATACAAAAGCCCACACATTAAATCTTAATAGCAATTGAAATCAGCCTCGTGCTAAATGGGTTGTGCGTCAAATGAAAACACAACTGAGGTGAATTACTGCCAATTGGACTCAAAGCTGGCCCAATCTAGATGAGGCATGCTTGAGTCAAATATCAAGTGGGTCATGGATCCAACCCATAATAAAACCATTTCAATTTTAAATGCAGTCCAACAGGGTAGCCTTACTGCTTTGACTTGATCGGATAAATCATTAACTAATAAAATCATTTTTGTTTTGAATTATCATGGCATATAAGGCATTAAGAGATTTAAGATATCCTATTCTAAGTGCAAAGTCTAATCCAAACCATCCGACAGAACTTTCTCTTTTGGTTACAACAAACTATCTCATCACACCATAAGCATGACAATTACAACCATATTGAACCATATATTAGCAAGCTAAGAACCTAATTCGACTCAAGAATGCAGGCCAAACTCTGAAACAAATAATAACAAGATGAAACCTCAAAAAATGAGCTCCGGTACTAGTTACTAGATTTCAACAACAAGATCAATTAGAAAAAGCCAAATACTAACTAATACTATCTGCTTCATCTACAATTAATCTATACATTAGTCAAAGTTCCAAAGTCACATGATGATTATGAAATTGAAAGGACGAAAATGTGAAGCTCATAGACAACATCATATTTATTTCCTTCTTAAACTCATGCTTCAAACTACAGGTTAGGTGACATCCATGAAGATCGAGATATACCTGGAAGAAGAAGGAAATAAAGCAGAAGTAAGAACTGCAGGCTCAGCAAAATGGAAACAGCAGCAAGGCAGCAATGAACTTAACCCAGGAATGACCAAAAGAAAACCATCTTTGAGGTAAATCCAGGATCAGTAATCAAGGGATGTTCAGTAAACAAACAACAGTCGAAATTGGACCCCAAAACTCTTGCTAATCAACCAACATCAAACCATTTTGCCCTTTAGATCTAAAAATGATTTCAGAACTTGAAAGTTTCAAAGATCAACCAATCTTAATGGAACAGTGTTTACTGTAGGATTTCTTAGCATTTTTTTTTGTTCTGATTTTTCAGGATTTTATCTCTAAAGTCTAAAATATGATCTCTCTCTGTGTATTTTCAGCTCTTTAATTCTGTAGGCTCTCCAATCTTTTTACTCTCTAAAATCTCTCAATTTTGCAGAATTCTTAGCTCTTTATTGGGGCTCTTTTCTATATCCTTCTAAGGCAAGGAAGTAATGCCTTTATAGGCAAGTAAGTAGGGCATCTCTGCAGATTTTATTTTGCACTTTAACCCTCCCCCTTAATTTCATTTTTTGCCAATTAGTCCCACACTTTCTGACTTGCTACCCAAGTTAAACGATCATACTTCTGAAATTCAATAAAAATCCCCCACCCAAGTTTCCTAGAAACTTCCTAATTAGTTACTAAGATTCCCTAGCATGAATTACCCAAGCTACCCTTCAATGCCCTGTTATTTACCCTGCACCTATTGTATTACCCTAGCCCCCTTTTAACCTATTTAAAACACTATCAGCTATAACCAAACAGATTAACTAATTAAAACTAAATAGTAACAATCATGGAATCACTGATAACAAACAATAAAAATCAAACAATGACTAAAATCAAACTATAGAAATTAAAGATAGAAAAGAACAACAATCAAAGCAGAATGAATCCTAATCGAATAAAATCCAACTAAAACCAAACTAAAATCAGAAATCAGAACAAGCAAGTAACCAGAATTAATCAAAAATCAAACAAAAAATCAGAACCAACTCAAGAAATCAATCAAGACAAAATCGAACAATATTAAAAAAGAAACAATGAAAATTAAACTAGAAGTTAAAAAAAAAATATGAGAACCGGAACATTCAAACAAGAAATGTAATCAAAAGAGAAGGAACTCACTGATTTTGGTCTTCTACTTGATTGATTCTCGAAATTGATTTTTTTTGTTAATGTTATATGTTTATTTTGTTAAAATAAAACATATAACATTAGTAAAAAAATCATTCGAGTGAAGAAATCCCCAAAACAGTGTGGAACTTCGAAACCCTAGATCTAAAATAAAAGGGGTTTCGGTTGGATTTGAAGGGTTCTAGTTTGGGATTTGGGAAGAGGGAGGTTAGGGGAGTATAGGGTGTGAGTTTGGTCGAATTTGGATGAGTTTGCGTTTTGGCCAGATTTTTCGATCTGATATTCGAGACGTTTGGGTGAGATTTGAAGGAAACGGGGGTCGGATTTGGAAAGGGGAGGTGAAGGAGCAGCGGTGGTGAAATTTTGGTGGCCATCAAAGATCCGCCGCCGGCGGAGACGATTTCCGGCAGGTGGCGGAGGGCGGAGGGTGGAGGGCAGCGGTGAACGGTGGGGTTGGGGTGTCCGGTGAGAGATGAGAGAGATGAGAGGGTAGGGGGGTCTGGAGGGGGGTGGTGTCATTTGGACATATATATATTAAATGATGTGGGCTTCAGGACCGTCCGATCAAGAAACCTCGACGGTCCTGATTAAAAACCCCACAAAAACGACGTCGTTTGACTGACCTGGGGCTGGACCAGATTGGGGTTTGGGTTTGGACTGGGTTGGAAGGGATTTTTAACGGGTTTTGGCTTGGGCCGGCCCAAAACAATGGGTATTTTATTAAGACCTCCATTTCTTTAATTTCTTTCTTTTCAAATTAAAACTTAAAAGTCTAAATTAATTCTAAAAACTAAATTAACCTACCCAATCTATTTAATAATGACACAATTAATTAACTACCAAATTTAAAGGAAATCTAACCAAAATCAAAGCTAAAAAAATAAAGCAAAAATAACTCATTTTTGTGATTTTTATATTTTTTGTGAAATCCTAATTACTAATTAATCTAAAATATATAAGATTAAATCCTAAATGCAAATGCAATGCGAATTTTTGTATTTTTTATGAATTATGTTAAATAAAAATGCACACAGTAAAAATGCAAATAAACACGAAAATTGTGCAATTAATTCCTACAAATTAAAAAATTAAAAGAAAAAAATCTTAAATTTAAGAAATCTGTAGGAGTAATTCGTGCGAGGCAAAAATCACATGCTCACGCATATAACTAACTGAACTAAACAGTGACTAAGAAGTGTTACATTTTCTATGAATAAAAGAAAACATAGCTCCAGCAAAGGATTCTGTCGAAAGCCATATTGTCCTCACAAATAGTGTTGATCTCCCAAAGAGCAATCACTTTGTTAAGAACCTGGATGACTGCAAATAAATCCTGTCAACAAAACTTGCATCATATTCTAACCTATAAACACAATGTGGTTGGACATACCAACTATACTAGAGTGCAAAATACAGATAAAATACGTCGCCTAAGAGCTAGTCTACAAATATCAGTCTATACAGTTGTATACCAGGCATTCTAGATGTCCATACACTCAATAAGATTCATCAAGAGAAGAGGAAACAAATTTCCCTAGCATCCATCGAGACAACTTCTTATAAACATAACACTGCTATCTTCATCTAGCAATAACTGAAAACCATAACTTTTAGCTCAATGGACTTGAAAATCTAAATGCCAAAATCTCCACAGGCCATCATTGGCTACTTATCTAATAATTTCTTCAATTTTCTCTTCAAAGCCTTATTGAAAGCATCCTCCGACAGTGACAACATCTGGTTCAGTAACAACCTTACACCCGTCTGAGTCATAATGGCGAACCTGGGCTTGATTCTCTCTTCTAAACTATAACCAAAATACTGAGGAAACTTGACCAATTCTGCTCTTGGATAACCCATGGTCAGAAAGAAATCCCATTTTAAGATCAACTTAGCCAAGCTAAAAGTATATAGAGCACCGTATCTTGACACCATTGCGGCAACTTCTGCCATATTGAATCCCTTATCCTTGAAGAATTCAGTAACAGGCTTAACGTTAGCCTCAATGCTAAGACCAAAAGTTTGAGGGCATCGGTAAAGAAGAACTCCAACATCAACCCCCATTGAACGGAAGTACTCAGTTGCAGGCCTTAGCTTGTCCTCCACACTATAACTTATGATGTTCGGACATCTGGTTAGAACCTTGCTCACACTCTCAGCAGATAAACCCATTTCATAAAGAAAGTCTACAGTTGCTCTCAGTTTCGGCCTGCTGTAAGTGAGAAGTGCAGGAAAACGGTAGATTACTTTAGCCCACTGTTCTTTATCAACGCCCAGTTCTTCCAAAAATGCCATTGTTGGAATTAAATTCTCTGAGAGGCTAATTCCACATAGTTGAGGCCTTTTGCTGAGAATGGTTGGAATCTGTGATCTTGGCACTCCTAGATCAAGGAGAAACTCAACAACTGGTTTGATTTTTCCCTCAAGACTATAGTAGGCAAAAGCAGGAAACTTGCGTGTGATTACTCTAATCGTTTCAATGTCCATACCCAGCTCAACAAGGTATAAAATATGTGGAGGAAGCTTTCCAGTCGGTCCAATATCACTGACTCGTGCCAGAGCCTTCAGCTTCTTGGAGTCGAGGACAGCACTAGGAGGTGAAGCTGGTGTGACAGGAAGAGGTACTTTTTCAATAGTTTCTTCTATTTTTTCCAGAACAGGTGGGTTCGGAAAGCTCTCCACAACATCCACTAGAATACTTCCATATTCCTCGTGGAGGGCCTCAAGGTATGGAATGAGAGCATCCCTAATCTCAAGAGTTGTTAGTTCTCGTCCTGCAAATTAAAGGAAGTTCATCATTGACAGATGAACTTAAACAGAGAACAACACTGTGAATATAGGCAGAACACATTCTGCATATTCACATACGTACAGGCAAAGAAGAAAGTGGAGGAGCAAGAGAATGAATCTATTTAAACCGAACCTACGAGGTAGCGAGACTTGTGAACAGAATGCAGACGCGAGACAAGGTGATCAATAAAAGGCTCTGATTTGTTGATAACTCTTGCTGAAAGAGCATTGCTTAAACCCTGTTTCTTCAGAAACAATGTCAAGACAGCCTTTGCTTCTTCCTTTTCTGCAGCTACAAGGTTTGAGGGCACCACCCTTAAGTTAAAAGAACCATCTATCTCGGATTCAGCTGTCGATCAAAGAAAATGTACAAACATTATGGCAAACCAATAAGAGCACTGGTTGGAGGAGTTCCAAATGATGGTTCCAACAGTTAATTTGGGGTAACACAACTGATATTCAAAATTTAGAAACTTACAATACTTCGCTCGGCAAAAGAAAACCTTCTGAGGAAAAGACAGTTCAATCCTGAAGAAAGTTTAACTAATTATTCAACCCCAACTTAAAGAGAAAAAGATATGCCAACAAAACCAAGAGTTACATGTCTATATAGAAGTATAACCAAATCTTATGCCTGTGTAATGGTAAAACCATGTACTGCTTATATTACGTCTTCTTTTCATATGGTTGGGGAAAAGAGGAGGCATTTAGAGTTCTTATCCTAGACAAGTGATACTGTTATATCACACAACTACTGGAGTGTGCTGTGAGAGAATATTAGCATAGAACAACTATGCCTCAATCGCAAGCAAGTTGGGGCCAGTTATATGAATCCTCATTGTCCTTATCACTCCATGTAAGTCCATATCAGTACAACACTATTAGAAATTAGTTTCTCCCGCAGTAGAAGTTTTCTACATGTTCTACAAACATAATATAGCTCCATTTTAAGTCCATCTGAGTAAAATATTATTAAAAATTAGGTTATGTATCACTAGAAGTTCTTTACATTTTCTACAAACACAAAAATCTCTAGCAAGGCTCGAAAATACTATTAGCAAACATGGACGTAAAGTAAAAAATACAAACTTGATTAACATTTAATCTCAACTAATTGATATCACCTATATAAAAGAAAAAAAATTCCTCCATTGTGCTCTATTTTTCGCTAGGTCTATAGGATTCCAGGCGATTTCAAGGGTTAGGCATACATAGTTCCCAAAATAGGAACGGAAACTAATAAACAAAACAAAGTGTCCCTCCATTGGCCAGAGCTTTAACAGCTACAGCCTACACCAGCACTTTTTTATAGGAATCAAATCCTAGAAAATGTCCCGGCAGAGTTCAAATCCATGAGTGATGCTAATCACAAACACCTTGTTTCAGAAACTTAACACCAGAGATTTGAGTGGCTTCTAAATCAAAGCAAATTGCTCATATTTCATAATTCAAGTATAAAGATAGCAGTATTATCAAATTAAGGCAATTGGAGAGTATCCTTTAAAATATATCATGTAAACTGGTAATATCTAGCCCTACTAGTTCTAAGTAACTAAGTTAATATCCTATCATGTTCGGTCTGCAAATGGAAAGAGGTAACCTAGTTAACAGGTTACAGCACCAAAACATCAGTGCAGAAAGCAGACAAGGGAAATAAACAGATAAGAGCTGGCATTCTGCGCTCAAGTCATGGGACAAGTTTAAGTTTAGAAGGAAAGTAGAGGCATCCCTAGTTAGAGGATCATAACCAAAGCTGTAACATCCCACAAAGAAAAATCATTAAAAGACTAGTAAATTGCGATATAAGTCTAAGATAACGTTACCGATAAAGGGGTACTCTCGTTCTTGAAAGAAAGGCAAGCTTTGGGTTTGGGGTTCGGACTTGTATTAAAGATATCATTTCTCAGCTGCTCACTGGTGTAGCTAATCGTGTTGCTGTGAAAACCAGTGCGAAGCATTGAGTAAACAAGAAATTGTAGTAAAGCTGACTCTGAGATATTTGCTTGGAATTGGGTATCGGGTGTATTTGAAGATTTTCGGAGAGAGGAGGCTTTTGGACCGCAAGTTGTTGTTTGTTCTCTAGTGCCTAACACAATCTTTTGAAGCAGCAATAAAATGTTGGCTGATTTGAGTAGTGATGAAAAAGCATGTGCATTGCACGTGAGTAGGTAAAATGTCCAAGTGATCAACGACATATGCTTGAAGTTACCATATCATCCCCAAGTATTAGTACATTTTTTAATGACCACTGCGTCTGGGCTAGCAAGTAGCAAATGGGAAGAAATCACCTACACCTATTAGTATTTTCGTTTTAGTTGGGATTTGAACTTGAGACCTCTTGGTTCTCAACCTACTTCATTGACCAGTCACACCTAGAGTTTGAACTCGAGACCTCATAGTTCTCAACAGGGGGCGCTCAACGGTATCCGGGGCCTAAAGCCAAACTTCAACCAGGGGCCCTAATTTTTTCCATATTTAAAAACTCATTTAATAAAATTTTATTTTGAAGTTTATTTTTCTAGCTTTTTGAGATGTAAACTTTTTAATAATTTATTTATAATTAATTTCTTAACTAGGATTATATATATTTCTATTTTCTACGATTATTATTCAATTTTTTTTAGGATTTCCTGATTTTCTAAAAGATCTATGTTAAACTCTCACCAACTTCTTCTCTTCTTCTTCTTGGATTCCATTCTCTTCTAGCTCAATTATATTAGTGATTTGTTTATCTACCATAAATTCTTCCTATTTTGGGGGATTGTATTAAAGTTTCAATTCTTCTCTCTTTTTTTGACATTTTTAATATGCGGATTCATATTTTCTTTTTGACATATTAAGTTTCTAATAAATTTAAAAAGATAATACGTATACTTACAAACAAAAAATATCAAAAAATAATAGATTTTAGATGCAAAGTAATAAGAAAAGTATAGAATAATTGAACCTGGTTTAACAAATAGTCATAGATAACTTGATATTACTTTTGTTGTTTCAATGTTTTTGGTGCAATGCCGGGAAAGCTTGATAAAAAAAAGAGTTCGCTATTTGCTTTCTGCTATCATATTTGACAGAATATTTTATGAGACACTGGACTTATAAGTCTGAAAAGGCTAAAAGGAATATAAAAGATTAAGTAAAAACAGTTTAATGAGAAAGAAATAAAAGTAATGTGGGCCCTGTCATAATAATGATAACATATAAAAGAGGCAAGAAATATATTCACACGTAAGTTACGATTTCTATTCCCAAATTATCTCTATCGGTCCCATAATTTCCTTATTTATAAAAGATATACTTTTTTTATATACTAAATATTTTTTTTAAAAATTCATCAAATACCGATACATCTATTTATTAATATCAGAAAATTTGTTAAAAATTTATTAATATCAGAAAATTTTGGGGCCTCCGTAGATGTGGGGCCTCAAGCAGTTGCTTGAGTGGCTTTACCATTGAGGCGGCCCTTGTTCTCAACCCACTTCATTGATCATTAAGTGCCTCATTTATTTTTTTAAGATTAATACGTCTGAATCTGAATACACATCTGAATATTATGATGTGCATTAAGATTAAGATATATGAATCTGAATACACGTCTGAATATTAAGATGTGTATTAAGATTTGAATACTAAATGATTAAGACTGTTTGTTTTTTTAGAATTTGAATGTATAAAATTTATTTTTATTTGAGAATTAATAAATATTCAATTCAAATAAATACTAATTAATCTAATATTTTATCAATAATATATATATATATATATATATATATATATATATATATATATATTAAAATATGGTAGTTAGTAGTGGTGGCTAACGGTGATGCTTGTGAATGCCGACTAGAGGCGGTGGTTGGTGGTGGTTTTGGTTGATGATGGTGGTTCTGAGTAGTAGCTAGTGGTAATTGGTAGTGATGGCAATTATGGTTGAGAATGATGGTGGCAGGTGGTAATAATTAATGATGGTGGGTGGTGTGATGGTGGTAGTGATTGAGGAAGGTGATGGTAGTTTATAATGGTGGAAAGTGTAGACTATGGTAGTTATTGGTGATGGGGTGGTTAGTTGTGGTAATTGAGGTTGATGAGTTTGTGTTTTTGATTGAGAATGATGGTGGTAGGGTAATGGGGATTTTGGGTGGTGGTTGTCGATAATGGTGGCGGCTATGATTAAGGAGGAGGTAGTGGTGGTGGTGGCGGTGGTTATGTATGGTAGTGGTGGGTGGCATGGTAATAGTTGATAATGTTAGGCGGTGGTGGGCATAGATTCTTGAAACAATATGTATGCCAGACAGGGAGTATATATGGATAAAGCACCGGATCACACTGAACTCCCAATCTCTCAATTGGGAGGCTAAGTGTCGGCTCACAATTATCAACAGCCGGTTGCTGCCCTCCAGCAACACTACCGATGTCAATGGGCCACGAGCAGCAGCTATCTACTGTTTTATGACCCACCAGGATTTTGATGTCGCCAAGCTCCTTCATGATGAGATGTTCATCCGCTCCCCAGAAGTACTCAAGGGGTTTTACTTCCCCTCTCTGGTTACCAAGTTGTGCCGTGCTGCACGAGTCCCTGAAAATCCCAGAGTAGATGGGAAATTGCCAGTGAAAGCCCCATTCCGAGATAGCAAGATCACAGTGGGGAGAGAGCCGGTAGTGGTAGTCGATGATGATGATGATGCTGATGAGGATGTTGAGGACACTGCCGCCCCACCACCGCCAAGAGCTGATGAGGCGGGCCCATCACATGCCCGCCGAAGTACCCGCTTGGCAGCCCTAGAGCAAGAAATGGCTGGCCTTCGCACTTCTGTCACTGACCTAGGCACCCGAGTTGACAATTTGACTAGTCAACAGGCCAAGTTGGAGAAAAAGATTATGGGCTGGCTCCGGGCACTAGGACGAGCATGTCACCTCAATCCTAGCACTGTATCCGATCAGGATTGAGCTTCAGGAAAGTCCCTTTACCTTACTCTGCTTTATATTCGTTGACATGGGGACATGCCAAAGCTTTAAGTATGGGGTGGGGGATGGTTGTTGTTGTAAAAATTGTATAACTTTGTATGGTGTTGTTTTGTTGTTTGGTATTGTTGGTTTATGTTAGTTAAATTTGACTTGGCCCAAAGATGGACACCTCTCGACGGGTCTCTTGAGGGACATAAGTCGAACAAAAAAAATAGAAAAAAAAGATTTTCATTTGATTAGGTAGTGTATCAACTCCCCCTTGGTTTTTCTTTAGACCACGGTTCTTTTCTAAGGGTTACTATTTGAACCGGGTGTAGTTAGCATTTTTCTTTTTTTTAGTTTAGAAAGTCTTGGGCGAGAAATGGAAATAGGGACCCTTAACTCTAAGGTACCTTGAATAAGACTACTTTAGTGTGACACTTAGGCTCTTTAGTTGACTCAAAGAAGGCCTTAAATTGTGTGTCCCTGAATGGCTCAAGTACTTAGAACGGAGTGTCTGATGATCCTAACTGAATTGAGTCATGTGCCGTGTGTGAGTGAGGTTTTATGTATTCTGTGTTAACATTCAATGCCTAGAACTTGCCCTGTGTGTGTGCAAAGCGAAATGGTAGCCTTGTTTGGTCTGGAAAGTGATAGAGGCGTTTCTTTGCTTAACCCTTATATGTATGCTTGTTCCCACCTAAATGTGTATACCCTAGTCAACCCCGTTGAGCCTGTAGACCTGTTTTTCTTGGCAACCACATTACAAGCCTAACCTGAGTTTAAATAGCCTATCTTGTTGAACCCTATCAGCTCTTAGAAGCACTCAAAGTATAACGGATATGGAAAATTATAAGTGTGGGATGATTGGTTGGGCTGTTAAGTGGAATTAAGGGGACAAAAAGAAAAAGTGCAATTGTTGATAAACAATATTAGAGGTCACCAAAGAAAGAAAAGAAAAAAAAAAAAAAGAGAAGCATCAAAGTGGTGGCAGCTATTAAAAGAAAAAGTGTGCTTAAGAAGAAAAAAGAAGGGGTTAACACACTAATGTATTGGTAGAAGGAAGGTGTGATAAAGTGAAGAGTTTAAAAGTACACAATGTAGTGGAGTGCTTAGGGAGGTGTAGTCACTATACCCAGATGTATCCTACCCGTCCCGCAGCCAACATTACAACCAAATAAAGTCCTACTTGATTCTAGATCGAATGAGCTCGATTAGTCGAGTATTACACTACGGGCAAGCCTATGGTGTGTTGTTTGTGGCATAAGAATTTGTTCTGAGGGTGAGTGAAATGTTGTATTCAAATTCCTCAGTGTGTGATTTGTAAACGATATAATCCTCTTTTGTAGTGAGTAGGTGATCGCTGCCAACTCCTCACTACTAAAAAGTAGCAAGAGAGGGTCGCAATAGCTTTTACCCGATTTTGGGTCGGGATCGATATCCACAGAGAGCTAGAATTGGAATCGAGTATCTATCTAGTTTAGGATTGCGTATGTGTTCTTAATTACACTTCTCAATATTTTTGGGGTTTTTGTTTACTTCTACAATTATCAATCTACAAATGGTAATTGCAACTAAATTATGCTAAGAGTTATAATGCTACGAGTTGTTCAAATAGGCTTAAAAGGCACTAGGGTAGTGACTACCGCCTAGGTGGTCAATTGACGGGTACTTGAATCTAAGGCATGCTTGACACGTTTGGGGAGTATGTTATAACCGTTGCACGACTTTACCCACTCTACACCTCTCGGTGGTTCGAGTGATTTTGCCCAAATTGGCTTTCTCAAGACCAATTGGGTATGCAAATTTGCACAAGCAACTAGGGTTCAATTTGGATATTACTCTCTCGAGGTTTAACCCTTTAATTGGGGCTATCAATCTCTTGAGTACGCCCCAATTCATTGTTGGACCAATTTCAGAGACTTAGGCTCTCTTTCTCAAGAAGAGCTCAAGTCAACTCAACACAAACTAGTGTTTGCAACCACTAATTCAGAAACTAAATCATGAAATTGGCCCAAATAACAAACACCCATAGTCAAATTAGCCCTAAAATACAAGATCCATCAATTACCCACACTAGGGTTGAGCCACAACCCTAGCTTATGGGTTTAGCTACTCATAATTAAAGAAGAAAAGCA